ATCAGCATAGGGTCTCATGATCTGTGTATAATTTGAGCTGCCTACCAAGGAGATGATCCTTGACAGATCTGCAATTCCTCTTATAACGAATATAAATCTCGTTAATAGGTTGAACCTTGTACTTCGTCGGGTAGTGACTGTTGATAAATAAATTTTGAGGAATGGTATATCCCTTTCCATCATCCTGTTGTACTACTACCCCTATCCCATACTAGCTGGCATCCATCATGACTACAAACAGTAGGGAAGGGCCTGCAATTTTCAAGACTGGGTACTCTATCAACGCATGCTTAAACTAGGAGGTGCAGTAACGGACCTACGAGCCTAGTAACGGACCTACAAGCCTATGACTTACGGTACAACCTCGACCTACCTATCGGCGCGCAGTAATACTACTGGTTGGGCTTATGGTACAGGGGACGATGGGATTCGGAATTGGCACTCGGAACTGGGTGCGGGACTCTGAGATGCAAGAAATCCTTTCACCAGATAGACCCAAGAAAAAAAATCTGATTACTGGCACACAATGCTATACACATGTAAATTTTAGTAAACAGAACATGAGTTTGAACCCTGATGGAGTCAGATGAAGACAATGAAGTTACGGGGCTATCCCTTGAAAAAAAACAGCCCCAATCCCATGACACCAGGAAAAAAAACCCTGTGAGAATAGCAAAATTGTTCTAACCTAGGATGAATCACTTCACCATTTGTTTCGGAAGATGAGATTATTTCAACATCTTTCTGAAATGAAGATAAAAGTCAAACAAACGTGGATAGGTAGCTGATTTTTACCCTGACAATTGGGTCCAACACAAACCAGATGGATCTTCAAAAGAGAGCCCCCTAGCTATCTGAAGCATTATGGAGAGGTGAGTGACACTTCCCAAAATGGAAAGGAGCCATAGCCACAAAGCCATGTTTTTTCCTGTTTTTTTTTTTTTCACCAGAAAAACCAACCAGCTGAAAGAAAGAGGTCTCTTGGAAAGGTAAATGACACCTACCGGCAACACATTGCTGTGCAGTTCGAGTCCAGCCCCAGCTTGTGCACCTGCAGCCAGCTGTCGCTTCTCTGACTGCTTGCTTGAACTCCAATTCTCTCCAGAATCAAATTGCTTGCCTGCACCTGCTTCAATTGTCTCTGGAGCTCCTTCTGCTCGCACCGATGGCACAGAATGGTTGGTCTTTGCTGTCACATCCCCACTATTGTGTCCTTCTGTCAAAACACCGTCTGCTGCCAATTCTCCACGATTTGACACAGATTGGCTAGAAGATGGAACTGCGGGTCGAGCTGGAGTGCTGAAATCCAACCCCCCATCGCAAGTACCGTATGCAATGGGTTCTACAGCAACTGCAGAACCAGCTGGAGTGTCGAAACCCAATCCATAACAAGTTCCCTCCTCTCGCAGCAATGAAGGCAAACTTGCGTTTGAGCTCTTCTCCTTGCTTTGCCTGGGTATTCCCTCCTCTGCCAGAGACTGTTTCCCACTACTGGGTAAGGGATCAGAACCTCTGCTACCTTTGGATCGGTCACACTCAGTGTTACCTGTCATGACGCCTCCCGCAAAGAGTCGCCGCTGCGGCAAAGGACCTGAAATTTGACTGATCTGCCGGCTGTAAGCGAACTTGCGATCATGCTGAATATAGTGTGGTGAATGGAGATCTGCCACTGACAATGCCGCCGTTGCCATCCCTGTGGGTGTAACAACAAGGGAGTTACCACTGGGACCTTCCACAGAGCCGGGTCCATTCCCGCAAAGGGTGTCCGTAAGCAAATCCCCAAGACTCATGTCCGAGAGACTGTCAATCCACGACATACTGTTTCCGGGAATGTTTTCTGAATGGACACTTCCCTGCAACCCGGGGTCCGCATCTGAAGGCGGTGTCTTACCCAATGCACTATTCCCAATGCTTGAGGGAACAACAAAACAACCTCGCTCCACAGTGCCCACGTGTGCTGACGGAACTGCACCAGAGCTTGCAGTGCAAGCAGTAGCAGATGTTGATGATGCCCCCAGAACTCCCTTTGGCTGGCAGCTGGGACTTGGGGTGGTTTGTGTGGTGTCCAGTGAGGGCAGCGAAAGCGCAGAGTCAAGTCCGAGACTGGAGAGCCCTCCTTCAACCATGTAGCCGCGATTCCCCAGGTTCTCCTACGCTACCACAAATCCGCCAAACCATCCAATCAGTACATAGCCTGTTTAGTTTTAGATGCTTCAGTCTGACAACACCAGACAGTAATGATGCCAACTGGCAAACCACAGACAAGGATCTACCTTTCAGATCAGATTGCAACAAGTGCAAAGTGCACACAAACATGGCAGGGTGGCAGCCGTTGAACTGAATACGCACTCGAGCAATGGTATGGCAATACCATGTAATACACGCTCCGTACTGCATATACATACTTGTTGATGAGTTACTATTAGTACGTACCCATCAAATTGACTGTTGCATACCTCACTAAAGGATCTGAGAGGAATCGTGATTTCGAGTACAAAAGAAGGGAGAATGGAATAGAATCTGGCTTCAGAACCTTCAAATGGGTTTGCAGCAGCGCATCAATGAGAAGAGACAGGTGGAGAAACTTATGTGACCACAAGCACACAGTGCCTCCAAGCCTCCAACCTTTGCCTGAGGTTCAATGGTACAATTCCAAGATGCGCTGTGGGGTCACTTCCAGACAGAACACACTGTTTTACATATGGCCATTGATGCTGAGATGCACAGTCAGATATAAGCTTTCTGTAACTGACGCTGTTTCCACCCCAGTAACTGCAAACGTGTTTGCCTCGTGGTTCTGCCTGTTTTGGAAAATGCCCTCAAGGCAAGGAGGGCCAGTGCAGCTTTGCCAGCATAAAAAAGGAGCATGGCCAATGGGGGGCAGAGGGAGGAGTAGGGCCGCTGCAGGATTGAAAAATAGAACAGAGGAAGCAACAAAGTGCAAGTTGATGTCTGAGAGCAGTGTTGGATAGGCTGAGACAGTTATTTGACCTGCATTCAGGCGTAATGGGCAAGTAAGTACAAAAGAATACAGAACCACCATTGCCACAGGGGAAGAAAATCTGGAAATGAAGAAGACGCAGTAATTGAGGGCAGGAATTTGGAATAAGGGCAGCTCACCTGGACCATGACGTTATCAGATCCAGAAATGCTGCACTGACAGTGAATGACAATGATGAGGACCAATTTAGGGTTGGGGCTTTAAGACTATGCTGGCCCATCGGCAGTCAGAATCCGGTCTTAACTTCAATCTTGGTGATGGGTCGTCCAGGGGGGGTTGGGGGGTATAAACAGTGACTAAAGGGGTTTAAAAGGTTGCATTTCGACTCATGTTTTCTCATTTATCCCTTACTATTCTTAAGCAAATAGCGGGTCTGGCGTCACGCCCCCGCGAAACCCTGCTCCGAGTGTTGGGAAAAACATTGGGACTGGCGGCGGGGCCCAACGAACACTCGCGGCCGTTGGGATCGACGGGCAGGCGGGTTGGACGGACGGGTAGAGCTTTTGAGAATCCGCGCCTGGCCGATTCGCGAAAGTTCTATCCGGCGGTCCGACCTGCCTGCCCGCCAATGGGAGTGTTCTTTCGGGTCCTCCGAAATCCGATCCTGGCCAATTCGCGAAAGTTCTATCCGGCCGTCCGACCTGCCTGCCTGCCAATCTCGACGGCCAAGAGTGTTCTTTCAGGTCCTCTGAAACGAGTCGTTCGTCGGGCCCGCTGTCTGGTATTTCAACCCGTCTCGTGCTTTGCCGTGTTTGACCGCGCGCTTCGAGATTTCGCTTCGACGTGTATGTCTCGTGCTTTACCTTGTTTGACCGCACACTTCAGGATCTCGCTTCGACGTGAATGTCTCGCACAGAGAGAGAGAGAGAGAGAGAGAGAGAGAGAGAGAGAGAGAGAGAGAGAGAGAGAGAGAGAGAGAG